TAAAAAAAAGTTTTTAAAGCTCTGAGGTTAAACGAATTTGAGCAACCACTTTGCAAGGTAAATCAAATCATTCCTTTTATTAAATGTTTTAAGTCTACATTTTAAACCTGCACACCCCCCTCAAACAGCAGATAATATGCACATCAAAGTCTTTAGAATCAACATGCCTGTTAAGTTAAAGCAGTGGCTTCCAAACACTGCTGCACATTGGAATCCTCTGAGACTCTTCACATAATACTGATGCCTGGCTGCAACCCCTAAATGTTGTGAACTGGGCATAAAGATTTTTATAAGCTCCCTAGATGATTCTAATATGTAGCAAATTTGGGAACCACTGAGTTAAGAAAAGCAATTGTCCACTTTTTTTTCATTTTAAATACTAGAAGTTCAAATATCTAAATTATGGTCCAGCCCTGCCTAACATCTGACAAAGCAGACTAAGAGGAAAATGGGTAATACTTATCCATCCGTGTCTGTTCTGCTGTCTGCCCACAATGTGTGGCCCAAAATGTACACAGTCAATCAGTCTCCTGTAGGTTCAAAGCATAAAGTCCAACTCCCAGCCAGACATTCTAGGCCCATCAGAATATGTCCCACCTTTCCCGCCTCATCTCCCACCATCCATCACACACTCTATGCTCCAGTCCCACCAAAGGACTGTGGTGGCCTGCAGACATCATTCTCTTTCACAGATCTGCACCTCTGCAGACGCTCTTCTCCATCAGAAATGCTCTTCTCAATCAGAATCGCCCTTTTCCCTTTGGGCTGCCTGGCTAACTCCTGCTAATTGCCTAAGCCTCAGCTCAAATAGCACTTCTTTTGTGATAGTCCTTGTTTCCCTTCTCTGTGTACCTTCTACACACCTCTTTTCAACATTCACCACATTGTATTAAACGGTTTGTCCCAGATCTACTACCAGACATCAGCACCTGAGTTTTATTCATATTTGCATCTTCAGTGACTAGCACATGCCTGCATACCATGCACCAGTATAGCCAGGTCTAGCTCTTTTAATACAAGTTCAAACTTTAAAATACAAAACCAAATGAAACCAAACAAAACTGGATGCTTTGAAACAGGATTGAAAAATCAATGAGAGATATTACAACCAATTGATAGTAAAACACAAAAAAAGGGAAAATTGATTCAACTGACAGGTAACTAGAAACTATTTTTCTCTACAATCACAATTTTAGGGGGGAAATTTTAAACTGCTATTTTAAATTATAATAGTATTACTGCAGTAACCTATTCCAGAATGAATGGCTGAGCATGATTCAATATGTGAAAGGAAATATATCAAGTTCAATTGTGTCTTGCTTTTGTTAAAAAAAGAAGAAAGAAGGGAAAGGGAAGGGAGGAAAAGGAAGTAAGGAGGAAGGAAAGAGAGGAGGGAAGGAAGGAGGCAGAAAGAAAAAGAATCCCTTTGGCTGACAAATCTGCAAAAAATTTTCAACAAATTGATAAGCCTTACTATTTTTAAAATTTTAACTAATTTTTAAAAATTGTAACCAGCACACTGAGAATCAGATATTGAAATGAATATTAAATTGAGCTTGCCATCTTTAAAGTCACTTTTAACTCAACAGCACGCTCAATGCTGTAAGCCATGGAGGACAGAAACAAACCTCTCCATTCACTCTCTCTTTTTTCTTCTTCTACCTGAACCATCTTAAAATTTCCTCTTCTTCCATTACTATCACGTGTTCAGAGGCAGGCTAAGCTAAAGGCATTCTGCGGGGCTCAAAAGACATGACTGCCTTTGCAGTTAAACAATACAGAGAAGAATCCGATTTCTGCTGTGATGCTAAGGTGAGAAAGCATGCAAAGGGAAAATGTCCATGCTTCCCTTTTTTTTTTCATTTCACCAAGACCTTCATTCCTCAAAGCCTATAATATATCTAGATCCTGGATTTATCCTTTCTGATTCAGTAACTCCTTATCTGACTATCTGAAAACTGTGGAATATAATTTATTCAACACTGTTTGTTGAATATTCAACAAATATTTATTAGCTCCCCAAAACTCTAGTTTGACCTTAAATCAATCCTTTTAAGTGTTTCTGAGTATTTGGTATAAGAGACAAACTTTGAATAAATGTTATATTTCTCTTTAATGAAAAATGCCAAATATTTTGTGTTATAATACTGAGCTTTAGGTTGATCACCAGAAATTTTCTCTCCACAATCTCACGGAGGATGACCTTTCTGAGAGTCCTACAGTTCTCTATTCATCATCCTGCTTGGTGTAGTTTGATTTTTACTAACAATCACAAGAAAGACAAAAAGTAATGTTGTGGCACATAGTGATGGGTGACTCCCCAACCATCAATCTCCTTTCTCTTTGCTCAGATCCCAGTCTTGTCCTTCAAGGAAAGCTCAGTCCCTTCATCATCCCAAGGGTGAATCTCACGTAGGTGAAAGCAGGAGTGGTGGCTTGCTTCCCTCATAAGTGACAGAGGTAAGACTGGCACATGATGCTCTTCTAGCCACTGAGAAGAAAAATGTCTGCTGAAAAGGTGGGGCTTTAGGGAAGCTTTTCTCAGTCTTACAAGTAGTCCCAAGACAGGAACATTCATCTTTTTTGCTCTATGACCTCAAAGGGGGATGAGATAACTGGAATTACACAGATTGTAAGAAAAAAAGAGACCCCCTGAGGAGAGTAGATGGAAAGACAAGAGAAACCTGGCTATTTGATGGCGTGTCAAGCCTAAATTAACCAAGCCTGGACCCATTCCACCTCCATATGCTTGGTTACATGAAATAATAAACTCCCATCATTGGGAGTTGGGTTTCTCTTACACTAACAGCCAAGGCATCTAACTGATACAAACACGAATCAAAAATTCTATTTGAAAAGAAAAATGAGGAAAGACAACCTAGAATAATGGTCCAAAAATATAAACAATACATTTAAATAAATTTAAAACATGTCTTCAGTTCAAAACTCCAGTTACAGAGTTATAGAATGATGAAACTACTGGTTTAACAGTAGTCCAAATAACAAAGATTGAGGTACTTTACTAGTGGACCAAAAGCAACCCAATACCACAACTTGGCTGAGGAAAATGTATGTTAGGTAATCTTACCAGAACTAGATGCTCAAGATCATGGTAGCAAAGTCGTATAAAGCTCAGCACTAATAATCACATTTCTGGAATAAATGAGGCATACAATACTAAAAGCAACATTGAAAAACAGGAGATTACCAAAAGGAGTTTACCAAGAGGGTGAAAAATATAGAGACCGTGTAATCTGAGGACAGGTCAAAGGAATTACAAATGCACAGCCTGGAAGAGGGAATTCTTAGAGGAAGCATGGTGGCTATTTTCATGGGTTCTCTTGGAAAAGGGGGACTGGACTTAGTCTCAGACATATCAGAGAAAGACAGTCAAAGCAGTAGTTGGTTGAGAGTGAAGGCAGATTTGGGCTTAAGAGAGCAACTGTCTAAGTAATAAAGCAATCAAAAAAACCCCAAATAAGTTATCACATGAGATAGTGAAATTCACTTTCACTAAGATGAAATAAAGACTGAGTGACCATCACAAGGAACGTTCTAGAACAGTATTTTCCACAGTAGTAGCAGACACACATCACTGGCTGTACAAGAGATGACTTTAACTGGTACATAAATTTTATTTTATTCATTATATGTTTATTTTAACAAATATTAAAAGCTATAAATGTACATACTAACTTAGCCATCAATTCCATGGCTTCATGAGTATACGCTGTTTTATGGTAAGTGAAATAACAGTGTAAAGTTCATCTGAAGAAAAACATTAAATCAATATATCCCATTTAACACTACTAGATATATTATTTTATGATCCATTAGTTACAGTCCTGGAATTTATATAGATAAACAACACAAGGCATCAAAGATTTAAGAAAAAGGAAAAAAACTTTTGAGAAGGAAAATATTTTTAAAAAAAAACAAAAACATTAAGTTAATTATAGTTTAAGTGGTATAAGAAAATGGCAAAAATCATGATACCACAAAAATGTCTGAATTTTGGACATGCTGCTTTGGGAGATTCTTGCATTCACCATCCTGAAACTAAAGTTCCTCCTTTACCAAAATTGTCTTAGTATTCAGTGGTTCTATGAAAACATGTTCATTTATAACAACATTTATTCAAAGAGCCTCTGTCACAATAGAATGAAGGACCTAAAATTTTCCATTATTTCAATCACAGTCTTAGAAATACTGATTTCTAATAGCTATAGCTATGAAATGATGTCTGGAATCCTCACATAACTAGTCCTTTATCCCAAAAGGTGAATACTCTTACATCTAATAAGCATTCACTGCAGGTCATCTCTGGGCCAGGCCCTGTGATAGACACAAATTTTAAAGTAAATTTGCAAGTTTTCATTTCAAGGCTCTGTTGCTACCTTGAGAAAAATGTTTAAACATTTAAGGTAAAACACCAAAAGACAATGTCTTTACCAACATGTTCGTTAAAAGTTTGTAAGTATTTTAAGATGACTGAAGGCCAAACTATCTCCCACGCTACTCACATGTGAAAAAGACTTAGTTTTTAAATTTCTTTGGTAAGCTCCGCCCTATATTCAGTATTTGTGCTCTTGCTTCAATATATTCTGAAAATCCTTAGGAATCTCAGTGAAGCCTTAAAGGCAACCTTATGATGTCTTTGTGAGAAGTCTCCCTGCCTCTATTAAAGCAGCGTCCCCAGGCATGTCCTCACAGCACAAAGAAAGCCATGGGCCTCTCTGGAGGAAATGGTACCACAGTATACTTCCTACTGGAGGCGTTTTTTACTGACTCATGAGAAGCCTGACCTTTTCTTCTTTACCAGCCCCTTAGGCTAAGAGGTACTTTATGTTTGAATAATCAAATAACAACTGACAGCTAACATGTACAAGAAACACTAAAGCTTAAACTTCTTGTCCCCTGAAGACATCCCCCATGCTTCCACTTCCATCTGGATTTCATCCAAAGAAAAAGCAATCAGCCTAGAAAGAGTCCCTTCCTACCTCCTGAGTGTGCTCCTTGTAGACCTGCAGCGGGCCTGCGGCTTTGGCGGTGTCCCAGAGCTGCAGCGAGCCGTCGCCACTACAGGTGACCAGCACATGTTCATTGTTTTCACTCCAGGTCACATCAAACAAACCATCGTTCCAGTCAAAGCTACACCAGGAAACAGACATGGAAAGAAGGGAAAGAGGTGATAATCCACAAAATGGATTAGTTCCTCAATGAATAAAACTAAAAACTACACTAAGAAGACAGCAAAGACAGGAACACAAAACAGTACACTAACTAGTTCACTTTTTTTATGTTTAAGTTCTATCATTTTTAAGTGAACACTAAGAGACAAGAGCTTTAGAAAAAAAGTAACACAGACACAACTTAATGGCAAAAAAAAAGTTCTATCCTATGCAAACGATGAAGGTTCTTTTATATTGCAAATTAAAACATCTTATTGATCAAAAAGATTAAAAACCTAATTCTATTAAGGCCTTAAACACAACAGAGAATACACATAAGTTTGATAATTAGAGCCATCTTACCTTCTAAAAAGCCTAAGCCCAGTTTCATTTTGATCCAGTATTAGCAGGGTTCCACAGCCTAAGGAGAAAAGAAGCTGAGGTCATGCTGCTGAATCCGCTGAGGGACCATGTAAAGTCAAAGAGGTATCAGGCACTGAGTATCTTAATTTTACAACCACAATTTCTCCCTGAAGTTACTTAAAACCATGTATACAAACTGATCAAGGTTGTGCTCTCCATTTCTGTCTCTCTATATTGTTCTTCGATAATTAAATATTAAACTTACCATCTCACCTATGCTTGGAACCCAGACACAGCTTAAACAGGGAAGAGATATTTAAGTGCATACTGTGTGGCCACACAGGGTACCAGGCACACAAACCTCTCAAAGAGGTGTTATCATCCCTATTTACAGGTGAGAAACCGTGGGCTTACAGACTCCGGGAATTTCATGCTCCTTAAAGTGTTGAACACAATTCCTCCAAAGAGGAATAATTTTGCTAAAGAATCGGCATATTTTGAAAGTTTAATTTGTAATAGGGTTGAAGGGGAAAAAAATAACTTCAATTAAACATGACTGACTTAAAAAAATACCACCTCCATTTAAGGAGTTGTTTGCTTTGTTTTGTTTTTAAGGATTTAATTTAAAGCATCACTACAAACTCATATGAGTCTTCAGCCTAAATGGTGGGCAAGTATTCTAAATCTGAACATGTAACCACTGAAAGCTAATGCTGAAAATGTAATGCAAATATTTCTCTCCTTTTCAGTTTTAGAAATCACTAAATCACCGTAGAATCCAACAAAAAATACTATCGAGAGCTTCAGTGTGTATACAACAGCTAGTAGATGAATTAAAAGGAAGCCCCAAATCAAGACTGGAATCCCTCCTTTCAACCTAGTCCAGAGTCAGAGACAATGAATTTGAACCCCTAACTGCCTGCAAATGCATGTATTTCTCGGGAGACAACAAAAAGTAAAGGCAGAACTTGATCAATTTCGTGTGGCATTTTTGGGAAAACTCCAAGCTCTTGCCCGGGAGCATCTTTACGACGCACAGCCCAGAAGACAGCCGGTGCGCAATGTGGTCCAATTAGCGGGTACTGGGGTAACCTCCACAGACCATCTTCAGGTGCTGTTGGTCCCGTCGAACCGGTAGGAAGGGCCACACGGGTTCAGCCAGCTCTCCAGGGCCACGTGTGCCTGCTGGCGGGGTGTGTCCTGAGGGGCGGTGGAGGAGGTGCGCTCGTAAGGAATAAGGACATGGGGCAGTAGGCACCTTCTACATGCTATTTCCGCACTGTAACTGGAAGGGACCATGCACTCTACTCCAGACCAACTCCCCACACTGGACAAAGGAGGACGGGGAGCCGGCCAGTTCCCCTGCTTTCCCCGGCGTTCTTTTGTGGCGCCGTCTACTGTCCGAAGTGCCTTCCCAACACGGGGAGGAGCTGGAGCTCGGCCGGAACCCGCCCCCGCCCCGGCGGCGCAGCGGGGCCCCGCCTCACCCGCGATGCCGTAGTGCTGCGCGGCGGCGCAGGCAAGGCGGCCCG